GAAGTCTATAGAAACGATATACACCATTCAACAGAAATAAGGTATTAAGAAAACAATACCCATAAAGCCAGTAATGCACTTTTGCAGAATTTAATAAGGCAAATATGACCTGAAATTAATATATGTCTTACATTCATTTTCTAAAAAATATTGATATATAACAAGGTTAATTGTTTTGCAGATCTTTCTAAAAATCGCCCTTTATAATTTAAATATAGCATGCGTAAATAACCTGATGGAATATAATAGCTGTATATATTTAAACGTAATCAATGTTAATGGGTCGGTAGTTTTCTATTGTCTTTTGTTCACAATATACATATGACACACTAGTCAGTATTGTGTTATGAGGCCAATAGAAAGACGGGGTTATGTTTTGAAAGGATGGTCCATGTCAACATGTTACAAACAGCAAAAGGTAATATTTCAAATTCAAAATATCGTGCAGTGTAAATTATTCTAACGATTTTGAAAAGTTTGGTATTTCCAATTTGATGAAATTGTCGCGAGTGATTGAAACAAATCTAATTGTAATATTATCCTATGTTGTGGTTTTTTTGTACTGCTATTTGTCTTTTGGTCATTTCCTTTTTCTTGCCAGTTTATTTTTTGATTGATGAGTTTGAATGCCCTTTGGTATCTGTCGAATCTCTTTTATACTAACACTTTTTTCATTATATCTTTAAGGACACAGGTTATATATAATGAGAATCACTTCCAAATAAATCGTTAGAAGATACGAAGGGGATCAAAAAAGAAGAATAGCAAAGAAAACTTGAGTTACTGGAAAAACAATTGGTTTTGCCTTAGTTTTTCTCGTTTCAATAGTTGCATTCGTCGTATTATTCATGTCAAATGAAATAGCGTTTCGATATCTAGCATTATTGTTTTAAGTTAAATGATATTGCTGACTTGTTTCGTTCGTGTTTTATATTACTAGGTTTATCACACATTCCATAGTCGTTTTAATTATGTGAATAACATGGTTACTTTGAAAAAGGTTTTTAAATATAGGATTGTGTATATAACTATGTTTAACGTTTTCGATTTTTTAATATCAAACAAGGCTGACAACTAAAAGCAATAAAAATTACATTGCAAAATATTAATGGAAGTGACATCCCCGACATAGACATAAAACAATCGGAAAAAAACTTTCTCCTTCAACGCAATTGCTATTTGTATTTTATCATGACATTTCTTTTAGCAAAAAGATAAACAATATACCCAAAAAGCATGTTTTTCTGTTGCGTATTTTAATAGCAATTTAAGTAAATGTTATATTTTACATAACTGTGTAATATTGCTCTCTAGATACAATAAGGTTTCTTTCTGGATATTATTCGAAAAAATCCCATTGTACCAGTAATGACTTGATTTATTAATTTTATACATTCATATGTTATGCTTTGTAATTGTATTTAAAATCATAAGGTCAATGCAGGAGCATACTTATACCGTTAAAATGTTGACTTCGATCACGAAATGAAATCTATATTTGAATATCATTCAATCTAAACTGAAATATTTCTATTTTCGTGCCAATCTAATTAAAATATAGATCTCGGATTTCGTTATACTACGTTATACTACATACGAAGATCTAACAACTACCCGTATAAGGTTTCACTTCTGAAGGATTTTGCATGTGACTTTTTCAACCAATCAGAATTCTAGTTATCCAATCTGAACAGCGCACGCGGAACATATTTACTTGGATGAGGTTCATTGAAAGGTCCCGAGGGTATCCAAAAATAAAAACAATGGGACTTAAAATTTATCGTTTCGATTGTTAATCGTTTGGAAATAGTTTTTAAATCTCTTTCGTCGTCATATTGTAACTATAGCCATGAATATTTGAAATATGTGACGTTTGTCAAAGTTTTCAGATGTGCCTCATATGCTTTATGACTTGAGGTCGGATCGTAATCGTGGAAATTAAAGAGTACAGTAAACACTGTTAAACTGTACACTATAGCACTGTCAGTGGCGGATCCAGGGGGGGGGGGGGGGGGGGCTTCCGGGGGTTGGAACCCCCCTTTTTTTTGACGATCAATGCATTTGAATGGGGACATATAGTTGGAACCCCCCCCCCCCCCCCCCTCTTTATCCTGGGTTAGGAACCCCTCCCCCCTTTTATAAATGGCTGGATCCGCCCCTGACTGCTTCCCTCTGCCAGACGTGGATCAAGGATTTTGATAAGGGGGTGCAAACTATGCATAGTTTGAATGGGACATGTAAAAAGTCTAAGCATTGATAAACCATACATATATATGTTTAGCGCCACAAGCACCCCCCTCGGCTTGCATACAAGAAAAAAAAACTGTCCTCTATTAGCTGCTCTGGTGAAGTTTTTTTTAGCTCAGTTGGTCGAGTCTACTAGAGAGGTGCCTTACTGTACGAATTTTTGTGAACTGTCAGGGTGGGGGCTCTTTTATTTTGTATCTAGTAAGAAAAAAATCTTAGGTAGTAGGCTATATATTTAAATACATGTGTATTTCCTATACAATTCCCATGCTGAAGCAGATACATATATACAAAAAACCAATCCTAGTCTATCATTGACATAATAATTGATAAATAAAATTCGAACTTGATCTGTAACTTGTCATGATAAAACAATACACCAAAAAACCAAATCAATATCTTCAAGCACGAAGAAAAAAAGTGTGGAAAACTGATATAAATAAATCCTTACATTTACAGTTACCAATAAACCTGACTTCCAAATAACCTTGCATTTTGTAAGATCAATATATGATTGAGATAGCTGTAGAGTTTTATTAAAATCCAAGTTAATTTGAAAAAAGTTATATAGGGAGCTACCATTTGATTTTTAGGGGGGGGGGGGGGCTAGGATGAAATTTGAAAAAAATAGGCAGGACAGGAGTTTTGAGTAAAAAAAAGGCAGGATGAGACACTTGCAAAAAAAAAAGTCAAGCCACACTTAAAAATATTTTGGTTTGCCCAAACCCTACCCAAAGGTAGAGACAGTGGGTAGGTAGGTAGGCATTTTCTTTTTTTTCTCTAAAGAGTAATTGAAGTGTCAGATGATTTTTAGTCTTCATGCCTATCTGATTAAAAAAAAAACTTTTTCACATCAGGACAATAAAAGATTTTGAGTAGGCAGCTATTATATGGGTAGATAGGGTTAGGGCAAACAAACCCTATTCTTTTTTAAGGCCTCAGGATGACAATTTAGGTTAAAAAAAAATCAGGATAAACTTAAAAAAAAAGGCAGGACCGAATAGAGTGAAAAATAAAAAGGCAGGACAGATATTACAACTAAAAAAAAATGCAGGACAAAATTTTTCATCCTAGCCCCCGACCCCCCATAAAAATCAAATGGTAGCTCCCTTAGTCCAAAATGAAAATTCTAGCTTTTTTTACCTTTTAATCAAATTTTTAAATTTGAAAGCAATAAACTAAATTATCAATAACCTGTCATTTTTTAAGATCAATATATACTTGACATAGAAGGGCTGCAGAAGTCATATGCAGAATATAGTGGCCCTATTGCTTCAAAGTGTCTGCAAAATAGACCAAAATCACAAATAATAAATCATGAAAACGGTCAAGGTCAGAAAAAAATGCCTGTGTTGGACATGTTCACCTTAAAATCATTCCATACACCAAATGTAGAGGCCTTATTGCTAGTTTGAGAAATAGACTTAACCACAACAACTAAAGAATGAACCATGAGAAAGAGGTCAAGGTTCGATAAAAACTGCTAGTCCAAAATGCACATGTACATCTAACAATTATTCTATACACCAAATATAGTTGACCTATTGCTTATAGAATCTGAGATAATACATTTGTAAAGTGAAAATTTCAAATGAGAAAAAAAAGCATAATTTTTAATCAAGCAGTCACTGAACCATAAAAATTAGGTCAAGGACAATGGACATTTGTTGGACAGAAACTTAGTGACTACACATATAAGGTACACAAAAATGTATCTGTGTACAAGGTATAAAACATCCAGGTCATCTATCTTCTGAAATATCAAACTTTATTCAAATAGTTTATGCTGCTGCACAATTATGCTGATTGTAATCCCTAAGTGTCACATTTTGCAACAATGGTCTCAGGTGACACAAAAACTATTTCATTAAATTCAATCACATTTCATGTGCCTGTACCAAGTATAAACCCTGTTGTATACTTGTAGTACATGTTGCATGGCTTATAGTTTTTATTTTTTTATTTTCAGAATTGTGTATTAAATGCATATGACAGATCTATATAAAATAGATGTGGCACATTTTTGTACATGCAGTGATGTGATGTACATGTACATGAATGATTATCACAGACACAATGAACAAGATATTTCTGCTGAATTTATTCACTACTTTTATAGACACATTAAAGAGTAGAGCTTGACATATTGCATAGACAATTGCCTTTCCTTCTATTGAAGCCTTATATATACATGTAGGTTTCATTCTAGATGTCATTTAGTTATTTTTTGCTATTTTAGTTGCTGTCGGTCTATAACAAAGCAGGGTTATTATTCACATCACATAAACATATTCTGCATATTAATTTGCCACTGGACTGTAAGCAGCTATCCATCATCATTAACATATATATAAACATTTCATGTATAGTATCTCTTCTTGTTCATATGTAAACTTTGACCTACTGCTTTATATACATTGTGTAGAATCTGAGAAATGGAATTAACCACAATATATATTAATTTGCACAAAAAAATAACATTAATCACTGATGGGTAAAATGAGGTTGGGGTCACATGAACACCGTCTTTTGTTTGATTTTATTTTTACCTAATGTATATACCTTAATTTTTTATTTAGATATCTGTAGACTTATAAGTTGAAACAAGAGTGCACACGCTGAAATGTCTCGCCTACTATACTGACCATTGATTTTATGTTGATAGTCCTACTTATAAAGTTTTACTACAAGTATCACATTAACATTTATAATCCAAGAAAACGAGGTCAAGGTCAGATAAACCAAGGCGGAAATACATGTACACCTTTAATACAATCATTCCATACACAGAATATAGATGACCTATTGCTTGTCGTATAAAACAAACAGACCAAACCATGGAAATTCCATATGGACCAATGAACCATGAAAATGAAGTCAAGGTCAGATGATACCTACCAGACATACATACATGCATACACCTTACAATCATTCCTTACACCAAATATAGTTGACATATTACTTAAAGTTTAAGAGAAACAGACCAAAACACAAAAGCTTAACATTGAGCAATGAACCGTGAAAATTAGGTCAAGGTCAAATAAAACCTGCCAGACTGATTGCCAGACTGATATGTACATTGTAAAATATTTCCATACACCAAATATAGTTGACCTACTGCATACAGTATTAGAAAAACAGACCAAAACACAATAAAATGCTTCGCTGGGGCGCAGCTTGATACGACCGCAGAGGTCGAACCCTGAACAGTTGGGGCAAGTATGGACACAACATTCAAGCTTGATACAGCTCTGAATTTGGATTGTTATTAAATATTTGACACAGCATAGGTTTCTGACACAGAAAGAATGTGGTCTAAGAACTTGAATTTTTTTAATTTACCTATTATGGTCCAATGTCCGAAATCAAAATACATGGTTAGATTCAGCATATCAAAGAACCCCATATATTCAATTTTTGTTAAAATCAAACAAAGTTTAATTTTGGACCCCAACTTGGACAAACTTGAAAACTGGGCCCATAATAAAAAATCTAAACACATGTTTAGATTCAGCATATCAAAGAACCCCAAGAATTCAATTTTTGCTAAAATCAAACTAAGTTTAGTTTTGGACCCTTTGGACCTTAATAAAGACCAATTTAAAAAACGGGACTTAAAATTAAAAATCTAAATACACGGTTAGATTTGGAATATCAAAGAACCCCAATAATTCAATTTTTGATGAAATCAAACAAAGTTAAATTTTGGACCCTTTTGACCTCAATATGAACCAATTTGATAGCGGGGCCCACAAATAAAAAATATAAATTCATGGTTAGATTCAGCATATCAAAGAACCCCATATATTCAATTTTTGTTGAAATCAAACAAAGTTTAATTTTGGACCCCAACTTGGACAAACTTGAAAACTGGGCCCATAATCAAAAATCTAAACACATGTTTAGATTCAGCATATCAAAGAACCCCAAGAATTCAATTTTTGTTAAAATCAAACTAAGTTTAATTTTGGACCCTTTGGACCTCAATGAAGACCAATTTAAAAAACGGGACCCAAATTAAAAATCTAAAAAAACGGTTAGATTTGGCATAACAAAGAACCCCAATAATTCAATTTTTGATGAAATCAAACAAAGTTAAATTTTGGACCCTTTTGACCTCAATATGAACCAATTTGATAGTGGGGCCCACAAATAAAAAATCTAAATACATGGTTAGATTCAGCATAGCAAAGAACCTCATATATTCAATTTTTGTTGAAATCAAACAAAGTTTAATTTTGGACCCCAATTTGGACCAACTTGAAAACTGGGCCCATAATCAAAAATCAAAATACATGTTTAGATTCAGCATATCAAAGAACCCCATACATTCAATTTTTGTTGAAATCAAACAAAGTTTAATTTTGGACCCCAACATGGACCAACTTGAAAACTGGGCCCATAATCAAAAATCTAAACACATGTTTAGATTCAGCATATCAAAGAACCCCAAGAATTCAATTTTTGTTAAAATCAAACTAAGTTTAATTTTGGACCCTTTGGACCTTAATGTAGACCAATTTAAAAAACAGGACCCAAAATTAAAAATCTAAATACACGGTTAGATTTGGAATATCAAAGAACCCCAATAATTCAATTTTTGATGAAATCAAACAAAGTTTAATTTTGGACCCTTTTGACCTCAATATGACCCAATTTGATAACGGGGTCCACAAATAAAAAATCTAAATACATGGTTAGATTCAGCATATCAAAGAATCCCATATATTCAATTTTTGTTGAAATCAAACAAAGTTTAATTTTGGACCCCAATTTGGACCAACTTGAAAACTGGGCCAAAAATCAAAAATCTAAATACATGTTTAGATTCAGCATATCAAAGAACCTCATATATTCAATTTTTGCTAAAATCAAACAAAGTTTAATTTTGGACCCTTTGGACCTTAATGTAGACCAATTTGAAAACTGGACCCAAAATTAAAAATCTAAATACACTGTTAGATTCGGCATAACAAATAAATAAACGTGATCAAAGATTTTACAAATCTTATGCGCCATACTGTGCAATTAAAGATTACTTCTTAAAATTTTTCAATATTTGAAATTTGAAAAAAAAATAATATTTGAAGAATAATTCTTTTTAATTTCTGAAATCTGAAATGAGAAAAAATTGACCCCCCACAATTTCTTTTTATCCCCCCCCCCTTTTTTCCCCCAAAAAATTCTTTCCCTCAAGATATGGTCATAATCTCATTTCAAATTTCCAATGGAGTTGGCAACCATAATTACCCATTTAAATTTACCATAGTGCTAACTTAATCTATTTTATAATAGAATTAAAAATATAGTGTCAAATCTTTCATATGGATTTTTTTGTAAAAAAAAAAGATGCAACATTTGCAGATATTTTTACTGGTCTTCCTTTATAAATATGCATTTCTTTAAACATAATTTAAAAGCAGTGTAAGGGAAGTAACCAAAACGTTGTATTTGGATTACCTCCCTTACACTGTTTTAAATTATCTTTATTGTTCATTAACCATTACTTTATACATAATTTAAAAGCAGTGTAAGGGAGATAATTTCAATGATGTATTTGATTTATCTCCCTTACACTGCTTTAAATTATGTTTTGTACTAAAGTATTTGTCCATTAACCAGGACAACCTTGTTTTTCCCCCTTTTTTGCCCCTCATTCCTAAACGGTTTGAGCCATAACGCCCAAAGCAAATCCTAACCATCCCTTTGTGGTATGGAAACTTGTAGTATAATTTCAGAGAGATCCATACACCGTTCCACAGTTATTGTCTGGAAACTAGAAAATGCTTATTTTTGGCCCCTTTTTGGCCCCTAATTCCTTAACTGTTGGTACCATAACCCCCAAAATCAATCCCAACCTTCCTTTTGTGGTATTTAACCTTATGGTCAAATTTCAAAAAGATCCATTCACTTAAACTAAAGTTAGAGTGCGAAAACCAATGTGTCTTCGGACGACGACGCCGGACGACGACGACGACGCCGGACGACGACGACGACGACGCCAACGTCATACCAATATACGACCACAAAATTTTTTTGCGGTCGTATAAAAACTAAACTAGTACCACTGAACCATGAAAATGAGGTCAAGGTCAGATGACACCTGCCAGCTGGACATGTACACCTTACAATCATTACATACATGTACGCCAAATATAGTAGACCTATTGCTTATAGTATCTGAGATATGGACTTGACCATGAAAACTTAACCTTATTCACTGATCCATGAAACGAGGTCGAGGTCAAATGAAAACTGTCTGACAGGCATTAGGACCTTGCAAGGTACGCACATACCAAATATAGTTATCCAATTACTCATAATAAGAGAGAAATTAACATTACAAAAATTCTGAACTTTTTTTCAAGTAGTCACTGAACCATGAAAATGAGGTCAATGACAATAGACATATGACAGACGGAAACTTCATATCATAAGGCATCTATATACAAAGTATGAAGCATCCAGATCTTCTACCTTCTGCAATATTAAGCTTTTAAGAAGTGAGTTAACGCCGCCGCATCACTATCCCTAATTACACAAAATTTAGATTATTTTTTAACTTTTGTGATAAAATGGTGATATACATGTATGTGCTCAGTTGATACAACATTTTACAATTTTCATGCATCTTGGGACTCGCAAGTTTTGAAAATGATGAGTCCAGACTGATTATGATGAGTCCAGGACTCGCCTTAATGAGAACACGGGGCTCGACAAAAAATTGAGAGACAAGTTGAACCCCGTCTGACAACACATGTAAACCTTTGATCCCATACATGTATACCAAATATCGTATTACTTATAATAAATATGCCACAAATTCACTTGATAAAATCACTACACATGTAGTTTTTTAAGGAGCACTGAACAATGAAAATGGAATAAGGACAATGGACATATGTCTTGACAGAAACTTCTAAACATAAGGATTCCTTATACATTATCATGATTATGATTTTAAGTATGACAAATCCATGATTTCTACCCTCTGAAATATAAAACTTCATATAAATAGTAAATGTTGTTGTCCGATTAGCATTTCATGTCTTGCATGTCTTGTATTCTGAAACTTTTGTCACAGACAGGACATAACTGGAGACCTTGGAGGAATTAAGCCTACTTATACATGTTATAAGCCTCATGGTGATAGTCAGTAATTTATCTGGAGGAAAATGAACAAGGAAGATACAAAAAGTGAAGGTAGTCTTCAGTTCCAGAACAGACATAGTTGTCAGAATTTTTTTTTTAATTATCTGGTTTATCCGTTCAAATAAAGACAGAAGAAATCTATCTATTACTAAAATATAACTGTTCTGAACTGCATTTTATTTAATAGACGTATAGCACTGTCAACATGTACAATGTACCTGACAACAACCAAGCAACAATCTTTTAGTTCACAAGTACAACAGCTTGATCCATATGTGATCCAAAATGTGCAGAATGCTATTATGGTGTGAGGTTCAAATTCACTTTATACTTCTCTACTTTGAATATTATATCCTATATCACCTTCATTGCTGGTGATCATCATGTCATGTACATGTAGAACTTATTTTTAAACTTCTATAAATGGAAACCAGATTGGTCAAATATGTCTTCATAACGAGTTGAAAATATGGAATGTCTTGGACTAGGTACTGTGGCTTCCAAAGATTTAAAGATTGTCTGATGGTCTTAAATCTGTATTGTATATGACTGTTACATGTATAAATGAAAAAGGCTTTTATATCTTTGCTTTTGTACAGACATCACTGACATTTATATTAGCAAACAATTTGCATTTCCTGGCATATCTATTTGTTTGGCGGCTGAACATTTCCAAATGCTTGTTTCATGTTTTTCACATCCTTTTTAGTTTTCTGATGAAAATGCTGTTGCTTCCAGTTGATACAGATTCTATAGCTGAGCCTGTGTCTGGCCATTTCTTTATGTCTAGCATGTGTGTGAATTATTCACAGTGACTCTCAATTTCATTTCCCCAAACTTTCTGTGTCTGATTCCTTTCAATGAAGCTATATAGACCAGGGAAGAATGTCTGCTCCTGAAACATGTGAAATATCAATTTAAATATATTTATGGAATATTCTGATTTCAAAACAATGCTGACTCCATTATAAAGCTTATTTAAGATTATTTAACATCCGTTTCAGAGGAACTCATTTAATTTTTTTCTTTAATAATTATTACTAGCTTTTCCAGACTAAAAGATGAAGAAAAAATGTACATGCATGTTTGTTTAGGTTTTCCCTACCTACATGTACATACCCTGTTACTTAATACTAGTGTGTATTCAAACACATTTTAATTGATATGTTCCTCTGGTTAATGACAGAATGTTTTATTAAATAAATGTTACTTACAGATAAACATGTAGGTTATCTAAAAGTAAATTTATAAATTGACACTGTGAATCCATTTCTAGGATCCACATCTTCTTATCTTTGAACATTTTTTGGGGAAATAAAAACACTGGCCCTTGAGTAATCCTTTCTGGGATTAGTCCTTGAGGTGTGGATTCCCTAATCAAATTTGTACATACATGTATTTATTATCAGAATCTGTACACAAATCTTTAAACTTGTATTTCATTTCATTTCACATTTTTTTACTTTTTGTTTAGCATCATCATTTCCAGACATTAATCTTATAAGATACCTATTGATTTTGTTTGATGGTTGGTTGTTTTCTGAACAATTTAACATACATGTATGTACTATGATAGAGATAGCCTCGTCTGTCTTGTTCTATATATTGATCAAGTATATGTATTAGACATGTTGAATTTAAAGATAGAGTATTCTATCAGTCAAGAGCATAATTACTTAATCAAGTCTTCAAAATTATTTATACTAGTAATGTTACAAATGAAAACAAAGCAGTGGCGGACCCAGAAATTTTCTTCATAATGGGGGCCTGTACAGCCATGCTTCAGTGATTCCCTATATAAACAACCAAATTTTTCCAAAAAAGGGGGCCTGAGCCCCCTGAGCTCCCCCTCTAAATACGCCTCTGCAAAGTTACTCAATCATGTAGTTAAAGCTAAATATTTGAGTATAAAAGACTACAATAAATGTGGAATGTGTCCATAGGACACAGATGATGCCCACTCTTGCAGATCATATAAAGTTATAAAACGACATAACTGAAGAACGGTAAAAGTGATGCTACCCAAATTTGTGCTTGATCTGAGATTTTTTGGTAATAAGTATTGTGTATAAGTTTCATAACATTTGGTTGAGGCAAACTAAAGTTAGAGAATGGAAACGAAAAATTCAGCAATTATACCATTTGTTCTGGAACGGTTAAAGTAACACTTTTTGCCTCTTTCAACCGATTTTTATAGTTCGTTCTTATATTGTACTGTTACACCACTGTCCCAGGTTAGGGGGAGGGTTGGGATCCCGCTAACATGTTTAACCCTGCCACATTCTGTATGTATGTGCCTGTCCCAAGTCAGGAGCCTGTAATTCAGTGGTTGTCGTTTGTTTATGTGTTACATACTTGTTATTCGTTCGTTTTTTTTGTACATAAATTAGGCCGTTAGTTTTTCTCGTTTGATTGTTTTACATTGTCATTTCGGGGCCTTTTATAGCTGACTGTGCAATATGGGCTTTGCTCATTGTTGAAGGCTGTACGGTGACCTATAGTTGTTAATTTCTGTGTCATTTGGTCTCTTGTGGAGAGTTGTCTCATTGGCAATAATACCACATCTTCTTTTTTATATGTACATAAACAGGATGAAGTTATTTTTCTCACAAAGCATTAAACTAATATTTAATGAACACTGAAACACTAATTGCCATTCTGACCCACTGTAGCCGAGTCCAAGAATAGTGAACAATTAATTTCTTTCTTGGCAGAAAATTTCCCCTAACAATTATCTGGAGCACCACATGATATCAACATGTATCAGTGTGTGACAGAAGTAAAAAAAGTATGCTGATATTAAAACTTCTTCTGCATGTGCTGGCATAAGTATACATGTATATCTTTGCAAGTACACAGTAGAATATCATTAATAAGATGACATTATGATTTATATACTATTACCAATGAATTTAGATTTATCTGATCCCATATCTTCATTGACTTTGTAAATTATAATTTTTTGGTAGGAGAATTAGGAGAATGAAGACTTGCAATGTATTTTCTGGGATATTGTCATGTTTTTTTAAAGTACACTGTGAATCCTCCACAAAGATTTTTTTAAATAAACACTCGAGAAGTTGCCCAATGATAGAAAAATGTCAACCTTTAATACTCTATTTTCGAGAATTTACCTTTGAATGCAGACTTGATAATCGGGTAGCAGATATCTGGTATGTAAACTCCTTTCCATGGCCCGTTTGAAGCATGTTGGAAGCCTGACCATGCAATCTTTGATTTCCAAAATTTGTCTCTTCTCAAATTTCAATTCTTTCACTTTGTACTAAGGCAAAATTTCAGTTAATGCATTTTCTATGTTGTTTTCCATTTCTACGTCGCCATCTTCAACATGTTCCTAGGTCGCGTTTATAAGGAGCATTCTGATTGGTCGATATAAATACTTTCTGGGGTCAAATATATCGTTATATAAGGTCACAAAAGTGAAACCTTGTAGGGTACTTGTTAGATCTTCGTATGTAGTATAACGTAGTATAACGAAATCCGAGATCTATATTTTAATTAGATTGTTTTCGTGCGAAACTTTCAATACTATATATAACACTATATAATGCGAAATAACACGCATTAACAATCCAACAAAAAAATAAACACATTTAACGGCATTTAGACTGTTCATATCTTCAATTTCAATGTTCAGGGCTAAGTAGCTTTCTATTGAATTGCTCTCAAAATGCATATGATGGATGCACTACGGTATTGTTTAATTGGACCAATGTATACAAATTATTTATTTCGATTTTTCAGTTAAATTTTTTCATGTTTAAAGCAAACACTGTGGAATATTAGTTGAAGTTTAAGTAAGTTGTAAATGCGCAATCTCACGGATTTTTCTGAAATTGTGCAGGCAATGAGGGCATATGTTTAAGAGCAGATATGTATAAAACCACATGCAGCCCTAGTGAATGAAATAATAAACTATAATTTGTCCTGTTTAGATTCTTAATCATAAAGAAATGGACCTTGCTATTTAATAAGCGATAAATGTGGATGAATAGTTTCCTTTTGTTTTTAAATATACGACTCTTGAACGTAGTTCATCTGGATTTAGATCATTGCAATATTCTTTTTCCATAAATTCTTAGCAGACATATTGGACATTTGATATACTAGCCATCATTGTACGCATACATAAACGGAAGATAAGAGGATAAAGAGGGTAAAGTTCTTTAATTTCATTTGGTTCACGTTTTAAACCTGTTTTAACTTGTTATTCTACGCTCAAGAAATAAACTTTTTCCATTATGACAAAATAAATAAACATGTTTCAATCACAAAATTACTCATCACAGACAAGTTATTCTATTTTATTTCAAAACGAGGATCTCATGATACATACATGTACTAGACAAAATTTAAATTTTTAATATTTTATTCCTACATAATATTCAAATATTTGTTTTTGCTTAAGTAAACAATTGCATGTCTTACGCCATTTACTATATTTTGTTGGTGGGCTGGTAAGTTGAGGATACAGTTTTATCTAATTAACATGATTATAGAAATTTTCAAAAGAAAAACTTTTATTTTGAAAGTCACTTCCAAAATGGGAAATTGTACTCTTTAACGTTTAATAAATGACGAGTTCGAGGTAAACCTTTTGTTTTTTTAGCTCCCAAACGCTTGAAATTCTATGCTTTCCAAACTATTGATCACGAGCGTTTGTAATGACGTTTGTTTGAGAGATACATGTTTTGCACACATAATATCCTATGTCTTCTCAACAGTTTGAATTTCATTGGGATTTTGTCTTGTTGCTACCAATTGTAACACGGTCAAATGTTTTATGCACATCATCATAAAATATAAATTTCATTCAGTCAAGTCACCAGAAATATTTATAAATCAACTCGAACTAAAATATTCAGAAGAAGCTTCATTGAACTCGAATATCAAAAGATATTATAAATCGAGCAATCAATATGACACAAAGCTGTCAGAAATTTGTATTTATATATAAGAGATCTGTCTGATGTATTTGTTTTAGGCACTGAAATAACTTGCATCTAGGTCAAATCTTTAAAAACTGATACACGAATAGTGTCATCTACATACTTTAAATATATTATATAAGTAAACTTTATGATTGATGCTAATAAAGACTCAATAATACTTGAAAGCAATGTAAGTAGTAACTATTTCATCTTGTGGCTTTTGACATCTTTTCATATTCAGTTCATCCTGTCATCAGCATGCTTAAAAAGCAAACAAAAACATAACCATTTTTGAAACCGCTTGTAAAAATATATTAAAAGGGATCGAAATCAAAATAACAAAGGTAGAGATGTAACCCTCATGGTTTATTTGAACAAGATATTGGATGCTAATTATTATGAGGATACCACATTTTTTTTTATCTGCTAATGGATGACTTAAGGCTTTTACCTACTATATTTTGTTTGTAGATGGATACCTTTGAGGTAGTTCGACATAACACATTGCGTAACATCTATTAGGTTTTGTCTGTAAGAAATAAAGTGTTGATACTATAATATAGCATTATGTCCGATATATTTAAAGATCGACATGCAAAGTTAGGATGCATGGTCCTGACATTGTTTCCTAAAGTTGTGCAGACGATTTTAAAATATTATGTAACTCCACAGTGGTTAAAAAGAAAATATTTGAAGAAAGATATTCATTTTATTTTTACGGAAAATGAAATAGTTTTAATGGACAAGCTTCCAAACATGGATGACTTAACAATTGAAATATGCTACAAAATACTAAGATCTGAAGATATGTTAGATGAACCTAAGTGCAAATGGGGAAATGTGCCCCATGATACAGAATTAGAAATTGCCGATGACATGCAACGGCTAATTAATGCAACAAATTCAATAATTAGCATCAACTCTGAGGAGGTCACCAAGAAGTATTCCGAAAAGTTGCACGAGGAAATCCAATTGATGGTCACAAGAATTGATTCTTTTTTGGAACAAGACGCTTTTGGAAGTATGTACAACAGTTTGTGTAAATCTGAAAGAGATTCTATTTCCATCCTACAAGATCTTACAAGGGTAAAATCAATTGACGGTAAGTTTCAAATAAATCAGAATAATAAAAGGAAAAATTTTAATGTAAATAAATGTGTATATTAAAAGTGAAACGGTAACAATTTCAGGGTCATATATTAAACCCATGTACAATAATTTCCCCTTCACTTCAAAAACTGATGATTTCGAACATTTTGTCTCGAACAAATCAAGAGGCGGAAGAAACCAAGCGGACATCAAAACACATAATTCAATCAAAAACTGACAGCGCCATTGCAACAAACGAAAAACGACGAAAAGACGAACAAATCCACAAAACACTACCTAGAAATAACTAAAGATTGAGCAACACGAATCCCATCAACAATCTTCCCCATATGGCACTGTCGTGTTCACATCTCATTAAAAAGAATGTCATAAAATCTTTTCTTATTAAATGTATTCTTTACTGGAATTTATTTCATTAGTTAAAAAGTTCGATAAAATTGACGATTTCTAATATGTTTAATTTAGTAATGACAGATTCCCTACTGAATTCTGAGAGTGAAAATGGAGAAAGGTATTCTAGGATCTCGATGGCCATCATAGAAACTTTTCCAAACATTTTACGAGATGTCGTTCAATCACGTATTTCGGCAAACCAATTATATCAAAAGTGTGTCCAAGTTTTAAAATACTTCTTACCTGAACAGCAGATAAATCTTGCAAAACTACAGCATTCTAATACATACGATTCGTTAGATATTACATTAATTTACAAACTTTTAAGACAGTTCTCGTTGATACCCCCACCCACAAAAGGCTGGGGAAGTATTCCAGATAAAGTAGCTATTAAATTAGGAGATGATATCGAACGAATACGAGACTACAGAAATCAACTTGCTCATCGATGCGATACCAATATTGATAAGAATGTGTTTGATGATTATTTCGACAAGTTTCGTGATATTGGTCAAAGAATGGATCTTTATTTTTACCAAAGGACGGATTATGAACGGCGGATAATAAGGCATAGAACGTGTATGATGGATACAGAAATGCAGGCAAAATATGAAAATGCAATGAAGGAGATAGAAAACATAAAAAGTAAGGATGCATTTAATCTAAAAGTGATTGCCTTGGTAAAATTTGATTCATTGAATTTTCCCTAAATTTTTTATACATGTATATGTCTCTAAAAGTTACAAACGTTGATATTTTAATCGTAACATTGTATTTATATGAAATGAGAATATCGCTTTAAAATGTGGTGCGACTAAAACAATTGAAAGTCATACTTTAAGGCCAAAGAAATGTTTCATAATATGCATGATTGAGATAGGGAATCTTCGCTTCTTGATAGTTTCTTAATTGCCCAACGGATAATTTAAGAAAAGTCTGTTATAAATCATTTCATACCGAATTACTGACTACTGAGGTGACGATAACTTCGGGTATAACCGGTATAACAGTCGGGGTATCAACCAGAGCTAGGAAACGAAAAATAGCACTTTATAATTATGTGAAGTATTAACCTTCATAATGAACTATGTTTCCTAACATTGGAAAGCCAGGATGCATACAAAACTGAATATGGAAGAATTGTATAACAAAATCATCTACATAGAATAGGCAAATTCACATAAGGTCATGTTTCTTTCATATCTTTTCTAACCTGTAACAATAAAATAGGTTAAACAAAGAATATTTTGAACATAAAAACAAGTTTCATTTATAAGAGAATGTGTGCCTGGTATCTCCGATTAGTTTAAACTACTGGAGATTGTTTGTACTTAAATTTTGATAATTAATTCAATAATAATGATAATGAACTTGTCAAAGGATCGTTTATTATTATATTTAGATTATTTAACTCGACCTTGATATTAATTAACATCCAAGTACCCTTGTTATGAAACCGATATTTGTTGGTTTAATATAAAGAAAATATATAAAATTAAAAGTGTGTTACTTGGGTTCTCTTTCATTTCAAAATTGCCCAAAATTTCCCAAAAATGAATATATATATATATATATATATATATATAAGTGCCTATAAATAGCAGCACATGACATACAAATCTATGGGAGTGTGGATTAATCAGTACAGATTAATTCAATTACACAAATAAAATTATAGATTGCCTAACAATGTAATTTTAACACACTATTTAGTATGTAAATATAAGAATGTTTAAAATATTTACAAAATGATGAAAATAAACGCAATATTTCGCTAGACTAACTAGCTTTATCAAGCGTGCATCTATCCAGGTGAAATCGGATGTAGATGATAAGAAACTTTTGCAGCTCAATGTATATGTTGCACTTGAAGGAATAGCAGCGTGTGAAGAGGTATGGAACACTCGTAGTGAAAAAAATCCTCCAACTGAGTGCCTTGTTACACTTCTGAAACTAGTGCTAGAGAACAACAACTTCTCTTTCAATGAAAAACATTATCTCCAGATAGACGGTACTAGTATGGGCACAAAAATGGCCCCGTCATATGCCAACATATTTATGGGCCAACTTGAAAAACGCCTCTTGGCTAGTGCTCCATACCAGCCCTTATCATGGTTCCGATTCATTGACGATATTGATTTCAAATGGACAGATTCACAAGAACATCTTAATGAATTTCTAGGACACTGTAACTCTTTCCACCATTCAATAAAATTTACATATGAATCATCTATGGAGAAAATAAACTTCCTCGACACTACGAGTTACATCAAGAACGGAACCATTATAACGGACCTTCATACCAAACAAACGGACAAACATCAATTCCTTTCTCCTAAAAGTTGCCATCCTAAACACTGCTCCCGTGGCATCCCATTCAGCCAGGCATTGCGAATCAAGAGAATATGCTCTACTGAAAATACGCAAAATGCTAGACTTGGACAACTACGTAAACATCTAGTTGTTCGAGGATACAATAACAACATCATTGATAGCGCTTTCGAAAGAGCAAACAAAACTAGTCGCCAAGTCTAGAGTACAAAGATAAGAATAAAGCAGCTAACAGAACACCCCTTGTACTCACTTACCATCCTGATTTTAAAAATGTGTCTTCCATTGTTCAGAAGCATTGGAAAATTATAGAAAATGATTCAAATCTTAAAAAAGTATTTTCCTCACCACCAGTCATGGCCTTCAGAAGACCTAAAAACATCCGTGACAAATTAGTGACATCTGTATTAGCAAAGCAGCCTACTCCATCTCCCGGTTGCTACAAACAATGTGGTCGAAGGAACTGCTTGTGTTGTAAAGCTGCCAATACAGGCAGTTCTTTCATCAGCTCCGTTACTAAACAAAATTATACCATCTACTCAAATTCCAACTGTAAAACGGAGAACTCAATTTATATATTAACATGTGACACATGTGGCATTCAGTATGTGGGAGAAACAATGGACAAATTTAATATTCGGCTCAATAACCATCGTTCATGGTACAAAACCAACAAAAACTGTCCTCTCACAAGACATCTTCGTTCAACGAAACATTCTTTTGATAATGTTACCTTCCAAATCATAGAAGTCAACACCGAGTGGGACACCACGGCGAGAAGGAGAAGAGAAAATTTTTGGATCCACCAACTCCACACTTTAGAACCTGATGGTCTTAACGAAAAAGATGAGAAAAGATACAGGAAAGATAAAGAATAATTTAGTACACAATATCATCCTTTTTATCCTGTAATATTGGCCAATGGACGTTGCTAACTTCAACTACCAATTTTGTAAAAATCTTGAACTTCATCCAAATTATGTATTATTTTCAAGGCAGCTAAATTCAAGTGCAACATATACATTGAGCTGCAAAAGTTTCTTATCATCTACATCCGATTTCACCTGGATAGATGCACGCTTGATAAAGCTAGTTAGTCTAGCGAAATATTGCGTTTATTTTCATCATTTTGTAAATATTTTAAACATTCTTATATTTACATACTAAATAGTGTGTTAAAATTACATTGTTAGGCAATCTATATATATATATATATATATATATATATATATATATATATATATATAAACAAGTCTAAATTGAAAACAACGTTCAAACCTATCTATGATTGCGTTGGATAAAAACCGCAATTTTTATACGTGTGCATGCAAAACAAATTTCTTGTTAGAGGAGTCTAAATACAGCACAAACAACATTTTCCAAAAGACCAAAAAAGTGAAAAGGTATATTTTAACAAAACGCATTTGACTAACAGGTCGAACAACAAATGTTCTTAAACCCTGCTGACTGCCATTGGCGATTGCCAAATAAACGGATCACCGATGTAATAAATGGATCTTAATAATATATATACATATGTCTAAATTAAAAACAACGTTCAAACCTATGATTGACCGCAATTTTTATACGTGTGCATGTAAAACAAATTTCTTGGTAGAGGGGTCTTAATACAGCACCAACAACATTTTCCAAAAGACCAAAAGAGTGAAAAAGTATATTTTAACAACACGCATATGACTAACAGGTCGAACAACGGATGTTCTTAAACCCTGCTGACTGCAATTGGCGATTGCCAAATAAATTGATCACCAGATTTAACAAAATGGATCTTAATATTGATTTAATACCAAACAGAAAACAAATAACTTGCGGAAAGATGATATTCCACAAACTTGAGGTGCAAAAATTTGTACACCATATCCGGATTTCGACAATTAATGTCTCTTCAGTGATGTTAGGGATCGAAACGGTATTTGGAAGGCCATATAATTTACCTCAATTTAGGATAGACTCTTGAATTTTAAAGAGTCGAAATAGGATAAACGGGTCATATAAACACTAAGGAAAATATAATACAAGCCCAAACGAAAAAATATAAATATGTCTAAATTGAAAACAACGTTCAAACCCATGATTGCGTTGGATAAAAACCGCAATTTTTAAACGTGTGCATGTAAAACAAATTTCTTGGTAGAGGGGTCTAAATACAGCACAAACAACATTTTCCAAAAGACCAAAAGAGTGAAGAAGTATATTTTAACAAAACGTATATGACTAACAGGTCGAACAACGGATGTTCTTAAACCCTGCTGACTGCCATTGGCGATTGCAAAATAAACTTATTTTGGATATAAAATATTAAGGGCATGTTTAATACAAAATATAAAAATATTAAAATCAGTCTCAAGAAACTTATTTAGAATCTTTGCAGCATTATGTAAAATGAAGGCAACAATAGTTTACCGATTGTGAAATGTTAATTTATCGACGTAGAAGACATAAATTTAACAAACAAAAAAACAGAAGGAATCGTTCGAACTCCAAAAAAGGTGCAAAACCGGTTTCGTCTACAGGGTAAGCCTATCTTATTATGTATGCATCACCAACCATGCAATTTTTCACTCATTCAAAATGTCAATATCAGGACTAGGACACAATTGGTAAAAATTAAAGATTACTCGAGTATTCTGGAATATAAAGATCTAACACTGCGAAAAAATAAGATACTGGTTATGTTAACATAAAGCGTCTGGCGTAACTAGTTATAAGTATTTTTCATATATTATTGAGACAGACGCAGTTGAGATATACTCATACATTATTCAGACTGATGAAAATATGTATATATGTACTGATATACTGTACAGACTGTTGATTGTGTGTTCAAACATACATAGAAATCTTTATGAAAACCAAGAATCATTTAGTGTATAATTCAGACATTTTCGAGACCCTTTGAAAGGATTCGAAGACATTGAAATATAAAACTCGCAGACTTTACGAACTTTTTGCTTTTGAATTTTTCGTGAGACAATCATGAAACAACATCAATAAAATCATAACGGAACATAGAAAACAGTTCAAACACACGTGGTGAAAAAATTAACAAAATCGAAACTCTCTCAGGAAAGTGTGATCTTTGACAGTTTTGTCTGTTCTGTAAAGAATTGTGATGTAAAAACATATAAGGATTTCAGTGTCAATAACGAAGTTTATCCAATAACCACTGATATCAATATAATACTTTGCAAAGCATAGGACTTTAGTGTCAAGAACGAAGCAATTATACATCCTTGGCTTTCAAATATTTGACTTTGAGCGTTTCTAATGGAGGTTAGTTAAGAAAAGCGAATCGGACGCATGAAATTTATAAAGTGTTGTTGTTGTATTTTTAGATCATTTTTTATGATTTATTTTATTTTAAATGAATAAAAGGACATGTCAAACCTTAAATAATAAGTAAACACAAAACTTTAATTCAAAATTATGAAAACAAAATCGAAAAAAAACCCCGAAATATAGACAATTTGAGCACGAAATCAGCAGAAAAAACGTATTTGAATTTAACAAAAGAAATCTCTGTATTACTGAAAAATTATTACACCAGAATTGTAGATATCAGAAATTTTTACTAAATTTTATCATCGGTAAAGGGACATCATTCGTAAATATAAATCAACATGCAGACAACTTATACGTTCATGTATTTCACATCCCCATCTTTTATGGTAATATTCTATACAAAGCACAAAAATGTCGTCATTCACCTAAAAAGCTAACCAAACCTTTAAACAGACTTATTCAGAAGGGATATAGTTAAGATACTGTTGTCATGTCATTAAAGATTTTTTTGAGTTAATATTTATCTCTCATAGGGTCTTTACATCGAAATTAACACATTTATTCTAGACCCTGTTGTTGGCATGATACGGGTTGTGTTCTACTCATATAATTTATTAATGCATGATACTTAACCCCTAACGGGAGGGATTGTGGTTGATTCTAATATGACGTTCTATTATCGTAAACCAGTATAATCACAATATATCTACCTTTAGCGCAAACGCAGTAATACACAAAAACGGCTGTTCCGCGTTACGACCAACTTATTTATACTACCAGATATTCTCAATTTTCTACATCAAAACCCCAAGTTTACGTAGGCAAAGATTCAGATACAATATATTTATCTCTATTCTACAGCAAAATAAACAAATCAGTCCATTTCAATTTATTTTTCATGATAAAATTTCATAAAACAAAAATTCCGCGAAATGATGTCATTGTCTTGGCATGGCAACGAAACAAGGTGACGTCACAAGTATGTTGTCGTAAATAAAAAATCAAATGTAAATACCGGGCGCTTTAAAGATTCTTGTACGCCTCAGAACGAATAAAATTATATTGGAAAAAAATATATAAGTGAAAAATGCGATTAAAAAAAAAAAATCATTGAATTATATGATATTACTAATATTATCAAAATTGGGTAAAACGGAACAGCCAAAACAATATCGTATGTATAGGGCTTTCACGGTTAACAAAATTACCGAATTTGTCCTATTAGAATCGAAATAATTCATGGCAGCCGTAGATTTGTTTTCATTTAACCATGGGTTGGGCATTTATATTCGTATTTTACCCCTCGCTAACGCTCAGGGTAAAATAATCGAATATAACTTTAATTTTCGTATGATAAAGACAGAATCTTTCTATCATTTTGATTGAGGTCTGGAGCTGGAATGTCAGAAACTGCTATTATTCTTTTGTTAATTTATGTTGATCATTGTCTTTTTGCTTAGTTTCTTTTGTTTCCTATTTTAACATCTGACTCTGACTTCTTTTTAACTGAGTTTTACTGTGCGTTTTGCTGTGTGTTTGTTTATTCCACATTGGCTAGAGCTATATGGCGGGTTGAGGTCGCACAAAACATGTTTAACACCGCCGCAGTTGTGTGCCTTTGGTCAGGAACCGCTAGCCTTTAATATTCTTGTGTGTTTCCTTTAAAATTTTGGTTTATTTTTATCTTTCGGAGTTTAGTGTGGCGTTTATTTCACTGAACTAGTATACATTATTGTTTAGGGGACAGCTGAAGCCCGCTTCCGGTGCGGGATTTTCGCGCACCGTTGAAGACTCATTGGTGGCCCTGGGCTGTTTTCTGCTCTTTGGTTTGGTTGTTGTCTCTTTGACATAGCACACAATATTCGTACAGTATTTTTGTTATGTTTACCTTTATGTGCACATTGTTTATCTGAATGTTTGTATTGTTTCTATATTTTGCAGCGACATTGGCGATTAATTCATGAGGACATGTTTTTTTTAACATGTTATGTGTTTATGTCCTTTAAAGACAGTTTTAGTTTAATTTCTTACCCAGATTTGTATAATCGAATTATGACTATTGAACAGCGGTATACTACTGTTGCCTTTATTTATTACGATGAAACATACATCCTTGAAATACCCTATATTACATACTCAGTATGGAGACCGTTCCAAAATGAATGTAGAGATACTAGTAATCAGGAAGACGTGGCATTCTCCGAAATTGCCCCTATGACCACTTTAAAAACATGTAAACATAACGCATTTGCAAGTAAACATAGAGAAAGTCTAGACCTGTAACAGAAGGTTACAAAATCAAAAACAACCTGTACAATCTAGAATTTACCTCTTTCAATTTCAGTTAAGCCAGGTGTTTCTTCTTGAAAGAAAATCCAAGTATTAGTTTATAGTATAATATACTAGATCGTTTTGGAATAACTAATAAAATGACACACCGAACAACAAAACGCTCTTCTAGATAATTTTGAATTCATTTCTAGACGGGAACACATTTAATGGAATATAAGTTTAAAATGTTCAAGTTTTGGCATTTACATTTTACACTAAGTAAACGAAATTTAACGTGTCATGATTTCCATTCCTATTTTGTGCCTCAAATTTTATAAATATTTTTGTACATTTGCTTTGTAAAGTGAGATTTGAAAAGATGCCAATAAAATTTTACTGGGGAGAAAGCTTTGATAGATGTTTGAAGAATCTTAGATCAATGTTAAAGGACGAGAAAGCTAAAGGTAAGAAATCTAACTGTATTGGCTTTATCTGTAAGTCTTTGAAGTAAATAAAAAAGTGTGTAGAAACGAATACACTTAAGTTTATAAAGAAGGAGGCACAAAACGTGAAACAATTCAAACCAGAAAACCAATGGCTATTAGAAAACAATTAACAAAAAACAAATATAATAAAAGCAGCCAACGATAACCAATTAATTACTGCTAGGCTCTCGACTTAGAAAAGGAACACAAATAATGTTTTTTAGCAATCAATCATCCCGCTTACCTGTGAAAGTGGCATGAGCAATAAAAGACACGAATACAAATCATAAAAATGGAAATGGCTCAACTCAACAGATTGTTATGATCATAAAGAAACAACAAACATAAAAATGAAGGACAACAAAAGTTCCGATCTAAAAATCCCAGCTAGTAATTTTGCCTTGGCTAAGTATATAACATCGTCTTTCGTATGTAACGTGATGATATTGATAAAAAGAACATGATTATAATATTTAGTTATTACTTATTTAGGTAGAGAGAAAGTTCGTGTACAGATCACCTTTCAAAATGAGGAAGATGTCGAAACAACTATTAACATCCTAAATTCGCTGAAAGTCGAGATAAATGAAGGCTTAGCTGGTATAGAATTCATTGTTGCCACATCAGGGAGTGTAATACTGAATGTAGATATAATGCTGAAAATGTTGGAAACAGATGAAAGATTACAAACGACCATGGCCTTATTCATAGAAAAGATTTTGGAGCTCTTTACGACGACCCCTACTGAAAGTATTGCTATAGTTTTGTTACCTGTAGAAGGTTTGTAATTAATCCCCAGTTAATGTCTTAACCACGAATTTTACATATGTTCAATGAGTATATACTCGATGTTACAATTACGTTGTTTTGGCGGTTCCATGTTGGTCTAAATATCAACTGAATTTAATTAGAAACACACAAGTTTAACATGTTAAAGTGATAAACAATATTAATTTAACCTAAGGATATTCCTTAATTGTGAGTTGTTTGTTAAAAATAAAGTTGCAGATATGGAATTCAGCCCGGTGACAAGAGTCAGAATTTTCAAAATTTAATTGTCAAAACTACTACACGGCTATATCATTTATCATTTTATTTGAAAATATGTGTACTTTAAAACTGATTTGGGCGTCAAAATCAAATATGGTGCATTTTTTCAGAAATCAAGATCAAAAGTCACTAACCATTTTCATGAGACAATAACAGTGAATATTTATTTCCAATTTAAGTACCCCTTTTGCAGTAGAATTATTGCAAACTGGCATATTTTTTTTCTTATTAAATTTTTCACCAAAAATGTGGAAAACCATCATTAAATGAGTTGTCCGATTAAACGTATCCTATTTGACAAAAAGGGGATGATTTTCATTTTAAAAAGATGTATTTTTAAAAATAGTTAGAACAACGGCCGTCAAAACTATACAAAATGTATAAATTATAAGACAAATATGAAAAAAAATATGTATTTGTTAAAATATGAATACATGTTATACCTCATTGAAAGAGGAAAATTTGAGTTTTGGGCATATAGGTTGAATTCGGTATATGCCAAACTGACAACAAAGGTTCTTTCAAAACAGACGTTATATTTGAGTTTAAACAATGTTATGACTATTTTTTTTTTAAATAAAGTGTATCAATAGTAACATACATCATTATAGAATAGACGTACAGTTTTAAAATGCATTTTGGTGACTAGAACCGCCTTTTATCCCTTTAGAAATTGTGAATGTTTCGATTGTTCAATCCCAAATTAACTTAGTTACATAAGACAAGAAAATCTCTTCTAAGAAGGATAATTTAACATCGCACTAAACATTCTAAAGACTTTACTTCAATAAGTAATTCAGACCTTAAATGACTTCTGTAGTGTTGGAATGTTATTTCAAGGTACTGAACCTTGACTGGAACATATAATATTCGTACATGAAAGGTTAAGCTAAATAAATCACGAATACCAACATTGGTCCAAAGTTTCAATATAGTGGTTAACGGTCAAGACAAATTCTTAAACCACAAATCCTAATAATATTGCGATTATGAACATTAAGTTTCTGACATTCGACTTGTTCTGCAATTGAAAAGAGTGCTGGTCGAATGTTGTGTACAACATGTAGCGTGCTTTGTCTTGCATCATGGGACATTTCAAAACATTTCAAAATTGCAGAATACACTTTGGGCATATCAATATAAAATTATGGGAATATAAAATAACTAGAGTGGCGCTTCTAGGGCAAATGACAAATGAACCCTGTTCATAAAGGTATAGTTTGTCCTGCTTGCAACTCTTAATATCCCTCAACAAAAGTCAAGAAAAAATCCATCTCTGATCGACAGTATACGCTTGCTATGTTTACATGATTGTAGTTTGTCGAACATTTCCGTTGTCGTGATTGTTCTGTCCCACAGTCTGATCTGTATAAATTGATTTGATATCTTAACTATGGTTAGCATTTATATCGCACTGCTAGTGATAAAACGCTTGTTCTGTAAAGTTGTATTTGTAATTAATGAATGAAGTTAGAATCCCCGTAAAGGTTTAGAGTGGTGGTAAAGCAAGTTACCCTTTACCTGAATATATTTTTGAAGAGCCCGTAATCCCTTGTCTTACTTGAATGTAGCTTTTTTTATTACAATATATGCAAGCATATGAAAAAAATATAGATTGATTTACACTTTGTTATTCGTTTGTTTTCAAACAAAAACTGAGGGAATCCCATGAATTCGAACTTCAACAAGCATACGCGTCATTTGCTATGCAGGCTTCACACGCTATGCAAATCACAATCAATTAAAATGTCACAAACAGGAATAGGACACAAATAGAAAATTTAGTTTCTTCTTAGTTTTTAAATATCGTAAACCGCAAAAAAAGATGTTGCTAGTGAGTTGAGACACGGTAAAGCTTAAAGGTAACGCAATTCGTGATGGTGACTTACTTGTATAAACATGAGGAGATGTGGTATGATTGCCAATGAGACAACTATCCACCAAAGTTCAAAAGAAGATGCAGGCAATTATAGGCAACCGTACGGCCTTCAACAATGAGAAAAACACATACAGTATAGTCGGCTATAAAAGGCCCCGACATGAAAGATATGAAACAATTTAATTGAGAAAACTAACGGTCTGATTTATAACAAAACAATTTACGAAAACAAATATTATTTGTGTCCATTTCAGTCGCCTGTTCTTGCTCATAACTCTCTACATATAACCGAATTCGTATTTACACGAGCAAAACACACATGTGCCACATTTGGAGCAGAATCTGCTAACCGTTCCTTCACAGGTTCGTGTTGATCAGTCTTTATTTTTTTTATGTAGTTTTTTTTTAATTTTATTTGTCTTCACGTTGTTCTTCGATTTTTGCCATGGCATTGTGAGATTTTCTTCGACTATTAAGTTTGAATATCTCTTTGGTACATGTATCTGCCGCCTCTTTTTCAAGTAGTTGTGTGTCAGAAGACAAAACACCCTTGTTCATGAAGTGGGTACTGTGTCAACATGCACGAGCTTAAGGTATCAATTGAGATATGTAAACGCAATACAATGGAGCAGAGGGTATGCTACTTTTGAGAACCTGGACATTTACATTGGAAACTTTAACTCATCATGTGACGTTTGTAATGGATTTTTGTTTGAAGTCCTCAATTTGTGTCAATATCAAAGAAAGGGTCAAGATATGAAGCAGCCATTCTAGATTCGGTAGTATCCTTTATCACAAGCTCTCTGGGATATATGGAATGTAAGCACTGACTTAAATGTGGGTTATAGAAGGACTGGACATCTTGATGTATCTAAACTTTTCTTTTTTAAGGTTTTGTATTTCCAATTGCAATTAGGACTGTAAACACCGTTATGTTATGTTGACTTATGCATCATTCGTATCAACTGTTATAATAAACAATTTCCAAACTTTCTTTTGGTATATCATCTTTGAATGAAACAAAGTCACAATCATCAATTTCGAGTTATTTTTATCTTTACACCTATCAACTGTGTCAAAATATACCGATTAACTGTTATGGGTAAATAAAACAACTGACCAACTTCTACTTTTCAGAAAAAAAACAATATTCAAAGGATTAAACTTAATGTATGCTTCTTTGAAATGTTAGATCCAAGTTTCAACGGACTTCACAGTTTTGTCATCTTTTGGGATTTTGTCCGATCCCAATTTCCTAGCTATACAACACAAAAACTTATTTTGCCTCTTATATAAATAAAACTATACCAACACAACCTCAGAAAGAATTACGAACACCCCCAAAAAAAAAATCAAAGAAACAATAAAACATCAACAAATACAATAAATATCAAGTCCTAACTGTATGAAGAAAACTAAGCACTCTGCCCAATCAGGGACCGGACACAACTTTCCGGATATTATTTAAGATAATGATTTGATAGTAGATATTTTGACAGTTTAAAAAAATTCGTTCAAAAAAATCTTATTCCATAAAAGAGAAATTGCAGTTTTATTAATTTATAGTAGCTACGAGACAATTTATACACGAGAGCTTTATTATATGATGTTGGAATCCGGTGAAACACAAAATGTCCCCGTTTACAGTAATTTGTACTTTCATAATTTGTCGTCAAAAGACTTTTATGGTTAGCCTTTTCGATTAATGAATAAAGCATTGTATGTGATGTTTGAATGAAATAAAAAAAGAAATATAATTGAGTGCAGCCTTTGAAAAACAAGTCAAACTGCATGCCACTTATGATCTGCATTTTAGTCAAATTTGCTAGCTAAACGATAAAATTAAAAATAAATGCACCATACGACTTTTTGACGACCAATCTCAAATTCAAGTAATATCATTTTTCTAGGACTGTGCAAATTTTTAGCAGTGTAATATGAAGTGAATTTACACTCTTTAAATAATCGACTTTTTCCTATTCCGTCACCGCACTAATTTATCTGTAAGGCAAGAACAAATTTACAATCAACACAATATGTGGTTTGGTAAGATAGATCTACCGAAAGTAAAGGCGAACAATTGGACTGCCATTGGAAAATGTAGCTGTGGAGGACAGAGAAAGAAATGGTACCTTGCAACGAGCAACCTACTGACCCATCAGAGAGTTGTTGCAATGTACCTTTAATTTGCCGAAAGCTTAGCTTTGCCTCTATTCAAAACATTGGAATCATTGTCCCCATTTCAACCGGATACGGCTACAAATTTTGCCATTCTACACAGCAAAACGGAGACCCCACTCTAGCAAGAATATTACTTTCAGAACAAGAGAAGGCCGGGGATTATTGTATTTGTATACCCAAATCTACCCTTAGGGTACCAACGACATTCATGCAAGCACTCAGCTTTATCGTACTAATAGGACTTAATATATTGTACCGTAGCTTAGTGTTAACAATCCACTATTCTGAATTTTTAAAACAAAAGTACTTTCGAATGATTCAGGTAATAATCTGAAACAAGAGAAGTTGCAAATATGTATCTGTTGAGGTTGGCATATAACTGTGTCTACCCCATCATTTTGGATTCAGCATTTTCTTACCACATATATCTGACGACATATTGCTAGTTTAATTAAACTTGATATGCATCATTTTCCTTTGTAATTTTTTTTTTTAAAGAATGAAACGGTCCTTTAAATCACGTCAATTCAACTTTAGCTTTGTTGTAAATAATTAAGACAGAAGATAACAATTACAAAGTACGAAAAAGCGAGACCGGATCGTAGGGATTTAGAGATCCTTACTATATGCATAGCTCATTTATTTTTAGCTACGACACGTTGCAATGATTTGCGCACCTTTGTACTTTTCGTGTATTCTGATATTTTGATCAAAAGTATATACATAAATGTCTATTAAAGCATTTAAACTGAATTTCGCCTGTTTCGTAATATATAAATGAGTAAATAATCTAGAATGATCAAATTGACGATGTTCAAATCTCATAAAACGACTAAGAAGCTATAAATCAAGGTAACAAGCAAAACAATGATTGAATCGAATGAACCCCAACAGAGCAAGATTGGATGTATCGACAGGGTAAGTGTCTCTTGCTATGCATTCATCACCCGCCATGCAAATCCACACGCTGTCAAAATGTCACAATCGGCAAAAGGACACATTGTGTAAAACTACAGATCAAAAGACTCCCAAGATTTAAAACCACGTAAACATGTCGCTAAGAGACGGACACATCTCATCGGTCAACCAATTCGTGATTGTGACAGTATATATTTCAATTTCAACCAATTGGTAGCCGAGATGTTTCGTTTAATTACTTGATATAAATGACAAATTACTTACATGAAGGAGGGGGCAAACGAAATAGCAAAAAGTCATAGATAACTTTATCAACCAATTCCATATGTGAACAAATAACAATAAATTAGTCTATTTAAACTCAATAAAAAATTGAACTAAGTGAGCAATTGAACATATATTCTGGAGACAAATTTGCCAAGCATTGATGCTAGAAAAAGAAATCACTTTCAATGAATAGGTTAGCGTCCCAGCAATGACGTAAACAAAAATTTTTATTGACTGCTAGAAGTAATCAAAATGTTTTTTTCTATTTCATTCTTACAGAGTTCACTCAATGGAATAAATCAAAAAACATTGGAGAACCAGTTTACCTTGACTTTGATATAGAGGCTCAGTTATTTGAAACCGACGATAAAATAGAAGAGCAATTGGGTCAAATATCTGACGCCGTCATCAAACATTCCAGCGGAAGCGGAACAAACCGTAACATTACTGCAACACTCCTACCTATTAGTCTTGGTAACTAGTTTATTATTATGATTTTATGATTTGTTTAAATACAATCTACCTGCAAATATTCATGAAAACATTTGTAAAACAAATAAGAACATAAAATCCGTTATATTGGTTGCAAATAAATATTTAGATTTCCCAGTAAAATAGAACCGATTATTTCACACGTGAAATTAATCCAACAATTTCCTTCCACTCGGGTCATAAAGCAATGTCGACTACAATCCATAATTAAAATAAAGTTCGTTGCATTTTTCTACTTTATTTTTATTAAAAGAGGATGCTCAATGTAATAAAAATTAATTGGGGATTAGCTGTCAAATTCATGTTCGGCGATTTGACCCAAATTCTCATATTTTATTCATAACATAATAAAACAAATATGTATCCAAATTACAAAAAGTTTAAAAGAAACGATTAACAATGCTTCATCTTATGTATCCGCATTCCGTACGTATTTCAGACCAGACGCCAACTACCTAATTATCCATCGAGATGGCTTCCGTAGACTGCCGACGGCCATATAATCCGATATAAACATAAATATAAATATATAGCGACCACGTGCAATCGGATTTTCTAGGTCTGTTTGATTTCATTTTCTAGGTTAAAAATATATGTTAATCATCGTTTTACCTGTATAAGAATGATTATGTGGGCCGGATCAGTCAACGAAATGGTTATTCCTGGTGGCTCCCTTTCACTTTTTAATGTTACATTAATGATTGAGCTACATGATAAACACATGCGCACACATCTCATCTGAGGGTTTAATTAAAAGGTTGCATAAATACGGATTCGAATGTGCTTGAAACAAAAATGTAAACTGACGATATACTATTTAATAATCAATATGAAACAGCGACTTCGTGTATGTTGATTTCATAGTTATTCTTGGTGTGAACAGGTATTCTGAGCGGATTTTCGTTTCCGTTTGGGTCAACAAATGTTCAAAAAGCTTGACTTGGTACAGGTTCAGAATATGGTGGCGTTAAACCAGTTTTACATTCGCACAAACCCCTGTGACTATCTTGACTATATGTTGTTAAACTTAAACTAGAAATTAAAAGGAAAGTGCAGTTACAAAAAGTATAACCAACAACATAAAGAAGAAAAGAGAAATGGCATATAATTTGGTATGCAGGGTGTAAAGGTGTCGCTACTATAGGATGCTAGCTAGAGTAGCTAAAGCTTCTGTTTTTGGGTACTGCCGCTCTAAAAACAAATAAAAAAACAACAATCCTAGCAGGATAAAGAAGGTCACACAAATTTGATGTCTAGTTCGTCGGACACCTGCTCCAAAAAGCGAAATATTTTTATTATTATTTTTTTTTTTGAAAATGAGTTTTCAAAGGCAAGTGCTCTACAAGAGAAGCTTTATTTTAAATTTTGTGATTTATAAGTTGTGCAATTTATGTACATGTTATTACTGGGTTTCTTCATCGAAAAACTAGGAAGACAACAGATGCTCTAATGCATGTAGTTTGATTTATTGGTGCCTGTACAATATCAGACTTCTTGTCTCACTGTGGTTTGGTTCATTTTGGTTATTTTCGTCAAGTCAGCTTTTGTCTGCCTGAATTTTCATTTAAATCCATTTATATATTTAGGAAGTATAGCAACCACTACAACTTTATACCCCTGCCGTAGCGGAGGGGGCGTTAAGTGTTACCCTTGACCAACCTTTCGTCCATCCGTTCGTCTCATTTTGGTTTCCGCACTCTAACTTTAATTTGCCTCATCCAAAATTTATGAAAGTCATGCACAATGCTAACGCATACAGAGTTTGAATCTGGGCAGTGAGTCACTGTGAAACGTGTGTTTAATAACTGTCTATCATTGGCAATGAATTGATACAACCGCATGTTGGCATCCCAATTTTTGACCTTTTTTTTTACAAATTGATTTATCACATGTGCGTTTGAAACGATTGGACCATTGTATGCAATAGAAAAGCGTCTATGTGAGAAAGGAAATTTCAAGAAATTTGAATTAGAGCGGCATGCGGACTACAAATTTGCGGAAGCGGAAACGTTCTTTTGTTTGAAAGTCATTTTCTTCAAATTAGGAGCGGGAAAATATAAAGAACAAGGAATAAAATTTGTGTGGCCTAATGACGGTTTCATCATTAACAATTGAAATCGACAGTTTTGTGAGACACTATAAAAAAAGAATAATTTATACTGATTCGGTTAGCTATACAGTATATGACGCCTGTAGTCCTTCTTGTGAAAAGATTTAATATATCGTTTTTCAATGTTAAGGTTCTTTTAACGACATTACAATAGACGATGGGATGAGAAAAACGGTCTTTTTTTAAGTGAAAAAGATCAGATGCTCGTACCGACTGTAAACATCTTTAAAAATATTCAAAAGTCTATAGCATCTATAGTCCTGTAAAAGTAACCTTCTTTACTTTCATTTTAACCAGTCAGCGTCATTCAGTCATATTTTTCAAACCGTTCAGTTTAAGTTTTGAAAATGTACACACCATAGGATGAGGAAATAGGTTCACAACCGTCCGAAATAGTAAAATTTGTGATGGCAAATCAAAGTTTAAATAGTCTTATTTGTTGTTTATCAATACAGTTGTCTTTAAAAGGAGTATACAATACTGACTGTCATTATAAACTTTATAAAGCTAAAGTTATTAAAAGTATTTAGCATTGTTAATAAACTCTATGAACAACAGTAAAGACACCATCATGACATATTCGAATTTTCTGGATTTTAATTTACCCATCATAAAGTATTTCCTTAAAAGAAGATTCATAACAGTAACGAAAAATATCTCCCATTAGAGGTGTATATTAAGTACCCATAGGAATTCTAATAAGTTCATGATTTACAATACAGCCATAACTTTTGAAGGAACAGAAATATTGTACAGCAAGACATTGACACCCTGTGCATGTTTAGGAAAACATATGGGAAACGTAATTTGAAAGTATTGTTATAGTAAACGTTTAACAAATAAATGATTCCATAAAGCACCTGTTAAATATTGTGAAGAAGTGCGATACTAGAATGTGTGATAGTTCCGTTAAATTGTCTCTTAGGTAATGTGGGTTCTTATTTCTATCTGATTCATGCTACGATTCTGTTTAGGTTTAAAACAACCCCAAATACCACCGCCGAGAATTCATTTTGAATATAGGTTCCAACAGATAACAGTTAAACTGTTGTGTTTCCAGAATTTTGCCATTACAAATTAAACCAGTCTTCTTGAACATTAAACAGAAGAAAATTTAGAAATCCACCTTCTTCTTAAATGAGGTATGCCTATGTATATCATAAAAAAAAACAGAAAATCAGTTCACGTTTTGAATTTAATCTCTTAAAAAGCAAGCAACGTGTCTGTTTTTTCCAATATACTTAATCATTATCGAAGTAAAGGATATTATTGTGCGATGTATTAATTGAAATTGAAACAACTGGTGGTTAAACTTCTTGAAAAAAAAATTTATCCTACTTATGATGCCGCGTTGTCATTCAAGCTTAGTTAGACATTGAAACGGGGGTCTATGGAACGCCAAAGCTATCTTATGTGGAACTCTGGTATTACTTTATGTTGTTTTATTATTACTTGATGATATTTTGTCTTTACATAATATGGTTTTGACATTACATAATGATGTTTTGATATAACTCAATATGGAATAGTCATTACTTAATGATATTTCGATATTACACGATATGGTTTCGTATTGACTTGATATAGTTTTGTCATTACTCAATATGGTTTTGTCATTACTCGATGTGGTTTCACCATTATTTAATGTGGTTGTGTCATTAGTCAATGTGGTTTTAACATTACTTGATGTGAATGTGACTTAACGTTATGTAGTTGTTTCATTACATGATGTGGCTTTGTTATTTCGTAATGATGATTTGCCTATTCTTTATATGGTTTTAACATTACGCAATGATGTTTCAAAATTTGACGATTTTACACTACATGATGTGTTTGTTTCATTATTTGATGTGGTCCTGTCATTCTTTGATGTGGTTATCCCATTACTTGATGAGGTAAAACCACGTGACCAATTCGGAAAAAAATATGTTCTATTTTTAAACAGATTTCTATATATCATTTGTTTAATGTGCTTTAGATAGGTATCGCTATCCATTGAGTTAAAGTTCAAATTAAAGTTCGAGTGGTTGTTCAGAGTTATTTGGTATTAAAAGAGGGAACGGCAGACAATAATAAGAAAAAAAGTATTAAAAAGTTTACAGTATTTCGGACATAATTGGGATATCCCCAAACCACTTGGTCCTGTTGTTTTTATACGACCGCAAAAAATTTTGCGGTCGTATATTGGTATGACGTTGGCGTCGTCGTCGTCGTCGTCGTCGTCGTCCGGCGTCGTCCGAAGACACATTGGTTTTCGCACTCTAACTTTAGTTTAAGTGAATGGATCTCTATGAAATTTTACCATAAGGTTCAATACCACAAAAGGAAGGTTGGGATTGATTTTGGGGGTTATGGTACCAACAGTTAATGAATTAGGGGCCAAAAAGGGGCCAAAAATAAGCATTTTTGTAACTTCCAGACATAACTTGTGTGTTAGTGTATGGATCTCTCTGACATTGTACCACAAGGTTCCATATCACACAGGGAATGCTGGGATTGACTTTGGGGGTAATTGCCTCAAAATATTAGGAATTAGGGGCCAAAAAAGGGACAAAAAACAAGCATTTTTCTAGTTTCATGACAACAACTTGTGTGTAAGTGTATGGATCTTTCTGAAATTGTACTACAAGGTTCCATATCACAAAGGGAAAGCTGGAATTGAGTTTGGGGGTAATTGCCCAAAACGTTTAGGAATAAGGGGCCAAAAAGGGGCCAAAAATAAGCATTTTTCTAGTTTCCAGACAATAACTTGTGTGTTAGTGTATGGATCTTTCTGATATTGTACTGCAAGGTACCATAGCACAAAGGGAAAGCTGGGAGTGAGTTAGGGGGTGATGAATCATAAGGGGGTTCAAAAATTTTGAGGGGGGGATTTTTTTTTTTTTCATTTTTTTTCTTTTTTTTCCTTTTTTTTTTTCTTTTAAAATTTTCCATTTTAAGTTGGTTATTTCTGATTTATATTTAAAAGCAAATAATAATGATATGGTAGGAGATACACACCAAACAGGATGTGTAAATTATTATATAATAAGTATTGTGCAATAGCAAGAAATTTTCAACTGCACAGTATTGCACAATAGCAAGAAATCTTCAATTGCACAGTATTGCGCAATAGCAAGAAATCTTCAATTGCACAGTATTGCGCAATAGCAAGAAATATCCAATAGCACAATATTGCGCAATAGCAAGAAATTGTCAATTGTACAGTATTGCGCAATAGCAAGAAATATTCAATTGCACAGTATTGTGCAAAAAAAGATACTTCGTATAAATTGCTTATTTCTTGACCAATTTCAATCGGGTTTTTGGGCCCCGTTTTTAAATTGGTCCACATTGAGGTCCAAAGGGTCCAAATTTAACTTTGTTTGATTTCATCAAAAATTGAATTATTGGGGTTCTTTGATATGCTGAATCTAACCGTGTATTTAGATTCTTAATTTTTGGTTCCGTTTTCAAATTGGTCTACATTAAGGTCCAAAGGGTCCAAAATTAAACTTAGTTTGATTTTAAAAAAATTGAATTCTTAGGGTTCTTTGATATGCTGAATCTAAACATGTATTTAGATTTTTGATTATGGGCCCAGTTTTCAAGTTGGTCCAAATCGGGTTCCAAAATTAAACTTTGTTTGATTTCAACAAAAATTGAATATATGGGGTTCTTTGATATGCTGAATCTAACCATGTATTTAGATTTTTGATTTTTGGGCCCTGTTATCAACTTTGTTCACATTGAGGTCAAAAGGGTCCAAAATTAAACTTGATATGCTGAATCTAACCATGTATTTAGATTTTGGATATTGGACCATAATAGGTGAATGTCCAATTTAAAATTTTTAAGTTCTTAGACCACATTCATTCTGTGTCAGAAACCTATGCTGTGTCAAATATTTAATCACAATCTAAATTCAGAGCTGTATCAAGCTTGAATGTTGTGTCCATACTTGCCCCAACTGTTCAGGGTTCGACCTCTGCGGTCGTATCAAGCTGCGCCCTGCGGAGCATTTTATTATCCTATGTTTTCAAACGGAAGCAGTATTTTCGTAATAGATTTGTAAAATATTCCACGGAACCATGTGTCTCGCCTGATATTGCTGCTGTAAGTGTAAAAGCTTCATGTTGATCGGCTGTACATTTATCTATACATTTATCGGTAAAAACAAGATTAAAAAAACAATGTTTTTCTGTAGATGTTTTTTCTTGAAATTGAGGAATAACTCCTATACAAGTTTTAAAACACTTCATGGAGGTTTACAAATTTATCATGTCAAAACAGTTTAATTCGGTTTTATTTAACTAAAACAAAACTGTTTTGTTTTGAACAATGAGCAAAACCCATACCCTATAGTAAGCTATAAAAGGTCCCGAAATGAAAAATGTAAAAAACTAGAAACCTAACGATCTATAGATAGATACATAGATACTTTATTCTCTAAAAACTAAATACAAGTTTACAGAGAAACATACAATATAAATACAGATACAATAGTCGAGGTAAACAAATACCGTATGATATTCTAAAAGTACAAATTTATGATGGCATACATTATAAGTAACATGTATAATGAAAGGTTAAACTCAATAGAAATTAAAAAAATGGAGATGGAGACGCCGACGCCACTATCGACGACGAAATATAGGTTTGTTGTGTCTCACTGCCGCTACATTGATGTCGCAGGCTCGACACAAATCAAATTGTTAACAAATGAAACACTTCAAATCAACTCACACTAAAGTTACAGGGAAACAGAGGGATGGGGGCTCGGACTAAGCGACAAAGCATCAATACTATAAAATAGAATTCTCCGAATTTTTTTTTAGCGTAAATGATCATTTGAACTAATACGAATATCAATCTTTTATTTGTAATCAATTGAATTCCCTGATCTACCTCGCACTAATTGAAAAATAAACTTTTTGGAATATCTGTTTCACATGTGACGATGGACATGTTCCAGTGGTCGTAACCATAATACCGTCATCTTTTCCTTGAATGTAAACTACCAAATAAAACCAAATCACTGGGTTTGTACTTTCTCGAATAACACGACGGGTGCCTTTCTGGAGCATCCGAGATCACCCCGATGGATTTATATTACCCAGTCATACCGATCTATTGAATCAGCCAAATGAAACTGTTTTGTATGCAACCGCGGCTGAAAGTTGGGGGGCATATTGTTTTACCCTTGTCCGTCCGTCCGTCCGTCCTTCCGTCCGTCCGTCCGTCCGTCTGTCCGTCCCATTATGGGTATATAGTTATTCCGCATTACTCCTCCTACAGTTTGAATCCTAGGAAGTTTTCTCTTTACTGTCTTTTTGTACATATATTGAAGGTGTGCATGTGGTCAGGGTTTAATGTTTATTAATATTTGCTTTTTTGGGAGATAGTTGAACTTTGTAATTTTTTCGGAAATTTACTTGCATAAGAAGAGCGTTTCCAGATAACTCCTCCTACAGTTTGAATGCTAGGAAATTTTCACTCTGCTGGCTGTTTGTACATATATTGAAGGTATGCATGTGGTCAGGGTTTTAATTTTTTATTATCTTTTGCTCTTTATGGGAGATAATTGAACTTTTTTTTGTCATTTTTGGGGTATAAGCGGTTAAATGAGTTGAGTGCAGGGGTATCACGTACTCTAGTTTACATCTTTTTCTCGTGTTGTGCTGTTACACAACTGTAACAGTCCGATGTAAGGTTAGGATTTAGCGCTCACATACATGTTAAACTCCGCCACGTGCACTTTCTTTATGTACCTGCCCCAAGTCAGGAGCATGAAGTTCAATTGTTGTCGTTGTATAAATGTGTGTCATTTTTTTTGTAGATTCTTTATTTGTAAATAAGACCGTTTGTTTTTTCGTTTGAATTTTTTCACATGGTGCATGGTGGCCTTTTGTAGCTGACTATACGGTGTGTTGAAGGCTGTACGGTTGCCTATTACTATATATGATTTCTTACATCCAGTGCATTTAAACTCTGGTGGATAGTTGTCTCATTGTCAATCACACCACATCTAGCTTTATTTCAACTTCTATGTTGCGTTTTGTATACTGTAACATTGTTTATCTTTTGTACGCATACCCCGGCCGGAGCCCTCTTTTCGGAAGCCCGAGCAAAAGTCCTTGTTCCGCGATAGAAAATTTAATTACGAACTCATATAAGATAGCTCGAATTTCACCTCATAATCTTAATTAATCTAAATGAGACTTAAATTCGAATCTTACTCAAACTCTACCTCAAAAAGTGACTCAAATTCAATGTTGTAACTAGAACTCTACCTTTAAATGTGACTCAAACTCGAAGTCCAACTCGAAACTCAATGCTAACTAAAACTTTAATTCTAATAATGACTTGAATTCGAAATCGAAGACTAACTCAAAGTTTAACTCAAACAGTAACCCAAACTCTAATTCGATGGATGGCCACACTCATCCAAGGCACATACAACATGGAAATCTATCTAAAAATAGAACAGGGTTTTCCGAATTGGTCACGTGATTTTACCTCATCAAGTAATGGGATAACCACATCAAAGAATGACAGGACCACATCAAATAATGAAACAAACACATCATGTAGTGTAAAATCGTCAAATTTGGAAACATCATTACGTAATGTAAAAACCATATAAAGAATAGGCAAATCATCATTACAAAATAACAAAACCACATCATGTAATGAAACAACTACATAACGTTAAGTCACATTCACATCAAGTAATGTTAAAACCACATTGACTAATGACACAACCACATTAAATAATGGTGAAACCACATCGAGTAATGACAAAACCATATTGAGTAATGACAAAACTATATCAAGTCAATACGAAACCATATCGTGTAATATTGAAATATCATCAAGTAATGACTATTCCATATTGAGTTATATCAAAACATCATTACGTAATGTCAAAACCATATTAAGTAAAGACAAAATATCATCAAGTAATAATAAAACAACATAAAGTAGTATCAGAGTTCCACATAAGACAGCTTTATTATTTTGAATATAACTTTATTATTTTTCTGATTATCAAACCGTTAAAACGTTCATCCCTGTAGAACTATAAAGCAAGTCGATAGTAAATGGTAAGTTGACTGTGGTAAGATATATAAACGTGTATACTCTGAACAATAAATGTATTGAGTTAGATTTAGTACATGACTCATACATGATAACATATGAAAGAGGACAACTACGAAATATTTTGAAGTCGTAAATGATTCCAAATAACATAGATAGTGTGCAAAACAAAATACATGTTTCAATATTCAATCCCTTGTTCCGGTTAGCTGCATTATAATGTAACCAATTATTTGTTGAAATAATAGATTCAATGCTTCATTATCTTTTTTAGAAAATATATCAACAACAGAGAAAGCATTCGCCCAAGCACAAACAACTGTAAGATACAACCTTCCTGTTTCTGTCACTTTGCGTCAACAGCTAAATGTTAAAAAGTCAATAAATGTGAATCAGAACATTTGGGACTGTATCAAAATAGGAGATACATTAGCGTTTACCGAATCTTTAAATAACCAACTTATCATTTGTAATGCAGACAGCACTAATATTCATCACATTCCTCTTCACTATAAACCATGGTATCTAACAGAGGTGGATAGTACTACTGTGGCAATATCCTGTATGATTGACAGAACCATACTAATGATAAATATATCTACCGGTAATGTCATCGATAAAATCGAAACCAGTGATTACTGCTACGGAATATCGTATAATGATAATACATTATACGTTGTTATTGGTAAGAGTATAATACATGTAATGGATCTGAGAGGTAACGTATTCCGTACTATATATTTACCTGCAGACAGTACCGTTAACATTACAGCAGACAGAGACAGGTTGGTTTGTATAGACAAAAGATCAATTTTCTGCTGGTCGTTAGATGGAAAACTGATTTGGACGTTTGAAAATGGAAAATATGAAAGTTTACGTGGTGTGACAACAGATAATAAAGGGAATGTGTATGTGACTGATTATTATACCAACGCGGTAGTAGAAGTATCTGATGAGGGTAAGCATCATAGAGAAATTCTTACTAAATCAGATTCACTGAACCATCCGTGTGGAATTTATTTTCAGAAAAAAGAAAATGTACTGCTTGTTTGTAATATAAATGATATAAAGGCTTTTCTTTTTGATGTCAACAGAAACATAAATGAACAAGATTAATTTTTTTAAACATGTGCTACAGTAAAACAACTTTATATAGAAATTTCTAGAAATTTGTATACGTCAAAGACGTATTGTTGTTTTGTTTACTTCCATTTGCTGGAGGAAAAAACCACACATTAAAGATATATTTCAGAACTTTTTTTCAAAAACCACATAAAAATTGTCTTAAAGGACAAATCAATTCAAGTCATGTGTTTGTTCTCATTAATGTTTAGTCTCAGAATAAGTTCTATACGAATGTGTAATTTTCTTAATAAAATATGAATTAACAAGTGTATTTCGTCGGTGGGTTGCTGTCTCATTGACGTATACCCCTTTCACAACGGAAGACTTACATGTATTTATATATTCGTCCTTAATATGCATGATCTATATGCCCTCGGCGATAACTAATCATTCTTTTTATATCAAACTATAAGTTTCTCTCCTGGTTTGATTGTAACTTTTGAAAATCTTACGCAAATCACTTAAAAGCACACATGCTCTTACATCATACAGACTGATATGAGTATGTGCAAATAATTTAGTGTTCTGCATTGAAAACCAAATTTCAACAAACTAAATACAATGATATATATGGCATTTTTTTTAAGTAGCATCTTTTCCCCGGCTACTCTTTGATGCATGTAGTTCCAATGCTAATACATATAAAATACTAGTACCAAACATATCATATGTGGTTCTATTTAAACTGACCTAAACACAAACTTTAACATGTAACATATTCAAAGTTTCAAAGTCTATGAACTATGATGAGGACCTGGGCCTACTATGTGGTTCTTCTTAAACTGAACTTATCACAAACTATCACATGTTAGCTATTCAATTGTTTCAGTCAACAGAGAATGACTGTTTGGTCAGGGCCATATAAACTCTATAATAATGAGATATGCCAATGCTTAGATACTTAAATGTCAATTTTCATTGATTAACCATTATAAGATCTCCTTAAACTGATTTAATGAAATACTTAAAATTGTAAACGCCGAAACTGGAAGCTACCGCTGGCTATAGAAACAGCATATCGATTAAAGTATCACTTTTTGACTCCATAAAAGGCGAGATGAAAAGCACTCAACTCAATCCAAACAGTTACATTGTTGGTCATGTTTGACATCCTCAATAACATTGCTAACATCATACCGTGAGCCATCTTTCAAAATTTCAAAATATGATTCCTGTTCCAAATTTCACTAACTTTGAAATGATTTTGTAAAAGAGAACCAAAATGCCTTTCTTATCTCTTTCCAATCTTTCATACTTCATAATCATGCTCAACAGCTTGCCAGTTTGTCGACATCAGCTTATTCACTTCCATATAAAAACATTACCCATGTTGATTTTGTTAGTTGTTTTGGACTTCCTCTTTATGAATGTACCTTGGAGTCGGTATTTATGTTAATACTATTACAAATAATTAGAATTGACATGACTTCAACAATACTGTTTATGTTTTGGGATGTTTCGGGGTAACTATGGGTAAATATATGAACAAATTATCATGTGGTATGAAAGAAAAAGAGCTCCTTGGAATTAGAACGAACGAGCGATTGACTTAATACGTTTGAATTAAGTAATAAACTCGATCAATTGTTTGTTTGTTGCTTAACGTCCAGTGGCAAATATTTCATGCATGTTCAGGACGAGAACAAATTAACAATAAATACAATATGTGTGTCCTCTAGTAGATGCCGTCTGTCATGGTTGTCGGGGGAAATTTGAAAAACTACTTAAAAATGAGGGTATATTGGATAGGGACAGACATTTTGTCTTGCAACAAGCCACCTACGGACCCTTCTCACAGGTGTAACAATGGGTTTTTAATGTGTAGAGAGCGTGGTACTCTCTTTACACGAGGCATCGTGTTTAACTTTCCCAATCTGATGTGGCTGTGCACATCTCGAACAGCCAAACGGACACCCCACTTTGACAAGGGTTTTACCTCCGGTCGGAATACCTATGTGACAATATTTCTATTTCCCAGTCACCCTTAAAGGTGGGGGGAGGGGGTGCTTTATACTCCGAATTTTGACTACAGCAGTCATCTCAGTACCAGAATCTAGAACAATTTTTAAAATCATTAATATTTTGCACCATATCAGCAATATAACAACTTCACCCGCGTATAGATTACTAAGCATGCATTTTGCAACTCATACGAGATTCCAGAGCTTGCAGCTGCTACTATCTGTCTGATAAAACAGCTAATGAGTCAACGTTTTGTCAAAGAAAGTGTCCTTCTTTTTCTGAAAAAAGTTCATCGGAGAGTACAAAGATGTTATAGATTAATATTCAATGTCTACTTCACGAATAATACAAGATGGTCTTCAGTTGTAGATTCTATTTCCTGAAGTTGTGTATCTTTTTATTTACTTTACAGTTTTTCCTTTATTTGACTTTGTGCTCTTATGTTCCATTTGGTCGTACGACTCTAGAGGTGACTCGGTATTAATGCATCAAGCTATTGGACTTTTGGCGTTGGTCGTTCCTGGTGCACGTTGGCCCAGAGATGCGATTCAGATACAAGAGATTTTTACAGTGTTGATTTCAGTTTGCTTTATATTTTACTTAATTTGTACTTTCTCGATAAACTATGTACTGAGTGCACTATTAGCTACAAAAACATTTTGTTGTCGTCTTTGTCAATTTTACTATAAACTGCAACATTTTTGTTGGTGTCCTTTAGATTTATTTGTATTTTTTTCAAAATTTTTTAGTCAGTTGTGTTGCTTGTCTATGATGATATTTACATAGTTTTGGCTGCTTGATCCCAATTATTGTCACTTTAATCTATTGTGTCTGTTTGGGTTGTGCATCCATTTTTTGTCAATGTGACGGAACTAAAAACAACTGTCATACAAGTGGGGTTTAACCCACCATTTTCTTCGAAAAATGCATGTACCAAGTCAGTAATATGACAGTTGTTTTCCATTTGTGTCGTTGTTTGATGAAGTCTAACGTTTGATTTTGTCATTTTAATGGACCTTCCCGTTTTTTTTAATTTAGCTTCGAAATCGGTTTTTTTTACCATGCTTTGAATCTCTCGATACACGAGGAATTGATTTACAACGTCTCAGTGTCAGCTTGACGTGATTGCGTATTTATAGATCACGCACAGATTTTCAACAATTACAGAAATTTGCAATTTATATAGTTTAGGTATATGATTTTTTTTCATCATTTTACAACGCAGTTTATGTTGATTGTTCAAGAAACAGCCGTCTATTTAAGCTTGCCCAATATACCATCCAGTGCATGCAGGGATCTTTTTTCTTTATATTTTTAGATTGATTGATTACTTGTTGCTTAACCTCCAGTGGTATTCATGTTCAGGACGAGAGCAAATTTACAATAAATACAATAGGTAATAAAAAGCCGTCCGGGATGAGAGTCGGGGAAATTTGGACTGCCACTAGAAAATGAGGGTATATTGGATAGGGTAGAAATTTTGCCTTGTAACAGGCAACCTACGGACCCCTCAAAAAGTTGTTGCAAGGCTTCTTAACTTGCAGAAAGCGTGGTGATCTCTTTACACAAAGCATCTGATTTAACGTTCCCATTCTGATCTTACTTGGCTGTGAAATTCCCACACAGCCACGTAAGATCATCGCATTTCAACGTCAGACCATCGCACTTCAGCGTGACTACCACGGTTCAGAGTCCAACATATTTATGCTATAAAATTGAGAATGGAAATGGGGAATGTGTCATAGAGACAATAACCCGACCAAAGAGCAGAAAACACTGTATATTTACCACAAAGACTTTTAAATCATTATTTTTCCTTAGTCGCATATTAATATTGTCACATATTTTACTTATATCTTATAACAATGTATGTATACAAATGTAATGTAGTCTGAACAAAAAGATCAATAAGAATTAAACAAAAACCAAAAACACAACAACAACAAAAAACAATCAGTAACTGGGATTTAGGAAACTAGAAGGTATGCTACGTATCTTGATCTTTTCCTCGATATTGACACAGATGGCCGACTCAAACTAGACTGTATGACAATTGTGATCATTTTCGACTTCCCAATTGTCAACTTCCTATTTCTCAGCATTAAAATAACCTTAACTCTGTTATATGGCGCTTAACTATTTCATTGAATATCGTATTCTTGTTCGTGTTCACACTATAAGGACTTTGTTAACAGAAATGTGCTCCTAACATAAAAGCTGTTCTAACAATGAAATGAGGAAGAAAGACTAAAAATGACAAGGCATAAGTTTTACCGTCACCATCAGGCATTGGTTGACCAAAATGGTATGTCGCTCTCTGAACTGTCATGCTTTTACGGTCTTTGATCTTTATTCGCCAATTTTGTCTTATTCATGATTGTGACATGTTGATGGAGTGTTGATTTGTAAGGCGGATGAAAAGTAAAATACTAGTAACAAAAGTACTGAACTCCAAGGAAAATTCCAAACGAAAAGTCCATTATCAAATGGCAAAATCAAAAGCTCAAACACGTCAAACGAATGAAAAACAACTGTCATATTTCTGACTTGGTACAGGCATTTTTTTATGTAGAAAATAGTGGATTAAACCTAGTTTATAACTAGCTTAACCTCTCAGTTGTATGACAGTGGCATATAATTTCATACATAGCATACATAGCAGGAGATGCTTACCTTGTTGGCGCACTCCGTCTCGCTCCTTTTGAGTAAAACGCATGTATAAAATTAGAAATTTTTAATTGATGTTTATATTAGTGTTTCATGTTCTGTCCGACTCGGCTTCTGTCAAAAATCCATTATTTATTTAGGTGGACGATACACATTTTATTACTAGATTTATGATGTCTGTGGTCGAGACGGCAATGTTTTCTTAACCGTCTCATGAACTTGGTGCACGTGTTAATTTTCAATCTTTGTCAGGATTATTCAGTCAGTTGCATTAATTAGCTAGTAGCAGTAGCAGTGCAAAAAATTCAAATCAAATTTTTCGGTTATTTCATAACTATTCTTACAATGCCAACATAACTATACGAATTACGACAGTATACTTATTGTGTTTATATTATACACCCGCAACATTTTCAACAAGAGGTATGAAGATTTAGAATTATACTCGATATTTGACACTTTAGATTGTGTCGAAACGGATCCGGATGGGAATAAATGCTTTATTCTGCAATTTGTGAGATTACATTTACTTGGAAACGAGTAGGCTGATTACTAGTGATGTGTTCTATTAGACGCTACGCAATTAT